AGTGATAGTGTTTTAGAGTAGAGCGTGGATTAGTGATATTGTTTAAGAGTAGAACGGGGATTAGTAATATTGTTTTAGATCGCGGATTAGTGATATTGTTTTAGATCGAGGATTAGTGATATTGTTTTAGACTAAAGCGGGGATTTGTGATAGTGTTTTAGGGTAGAGCGGGATTGGTGATGAGCGGGGGTTATTAATATTGATTTACAGTAGATCGGGATAAGTGATATTGTTTAAGAGCGGGGATTAGTGATATTGTTTAAGAGCGGGGATTAGTGATATTGTTTAAGAGCGGGGATTAGTGGTATTGTTTTAGAGTAGAGCGGGGATTAGTGATATTGTTTTAGAGCGGGGATTAGTGATATTGTTTAAGAGTAGTGCAGGGATTAGTGATATTGTTTAAGAGTAGAACGGGGATTAGTGATATTGTTTTAGAGTAGAACGGGGATTAATTATATTGTCTTAGAGTAGTGCGGGTATTACTGATATTGTTTTAGAGCGGGGATTAGTGATATTGTTTTAGAGCGGGGAAAAGTGATATTGTTTTAGAGTTGAGCGGAGGGTTTGTGATGTTGTTTTAGAGGGTATGTGTGTCACAGGTACATATAAATAGATTACTATGTTAGTTATGTCCCTTGCCACGCGCAATATTCGTCTGTATTTGTGAAATGTATTGTGGAAAACATTAGTGCTATTGATAGTTCTGTCTGTGTCCTACACGTGTTTTGAAAGTTCATCCAGGTGATTGTCGGTACATATCCGTATTTGGTCTTGTTTACGAGTGATGTTTAAAAGCAAATGAATTCGTAAGATAGTGTGAAGATGGGAGTGTATGGAATGTTAAAAGGAACTTAATACCGCGAACGTCCGCAGTTGATCATTTCACTTTCGCAGAGACGTATCATCCTGTGTCTCTATGTAATGCCACGGACATAATTCTCCATTTTACCTGACTAGTATAGTCATAGAAGGTACGTGCAGACAATGACAAGTAACTTATTTATATGTTAATTTCGTTTTAGTAATGTTTAAGTAAATTTAACAGTTGTAAAGTCTGAGTGAATGTCGGAAATTATTTATATTTAATATTACGACAATTTATTGATTTCAGGCCTTTTGAATTTTTTTTCATTTTTTCTTTTTTTTTTTTTTTTTTTTATATTTTATTGCAAAGTGTCCTGTGGATGTGCTCCGGTTAATATTTTTTTACAGAATAGCATGCGAACATTGAGCTGAGTGGTCTTTGCCTGTGACAGACACAAAATACATATGCCACCTACCGTCTTTTACTAACAGAATCACATACTTATAAACATTTGATACGTACTTATGAACTGCAGATCCACGATTTTAGCAATTTTAAAGAAATAAATCATTTTGTTAAGTCTGCTTTAAAGCACAATGAATTTATATGTCGTTTAAATACCATTAAAACGCATATTATACATGTAATTAATAACTATAAAAAAAACCCAAACAAACAAACAAACAAAAGAAAGAAAAGAGAAAATTATAGATGAAAAAATATTGGTAATACACCCAAAGTCAGGATACAGTTTACAACGCAAGATTCAATCTAAGTCATGACATGGCATGTAGTATACAGTAAAATTACGATTGAATGTACAGCATTCGATTAATAAACTGACTTCCTAACACTACTTAAGTTTTAAACAATACTTTCTTTAATAGGTAGCGAACTGGTGTTTTTTGTATAGAAAGTGATCGCTGATAGAGGTATTGTAGCAGACCTGTGCAGTGGCTGATTTGTGCCATTACGAAAATTAGCAACCTTAATTTTCATCTTTTCGACAAGAAATCCTCGAGAAGACAATTCATAAATTACCGTACACGTAAATGCTAAATCAATGCACCCTGACTGGTAACTTTAATTTTCGTCTTTTAGTGTTTTCGTCCTGAAAAGATTGGGAAAAAAACGATTCTCGTCCTGTAGTCCTTTTTTCAACTTAACCTCACACGATACAAACTGATATGGTCAAGCCGAGAAAAAACAACAAACCGGCATTATACGGAATGTGGTACATATTGTAAGGGTATCCCTGTGTCCAAAAACAGACAGTTCTTAAAAGACGAGGTTTACATCTTAGAAATAGCTCCAGTCGGTTTCATGATAAGTAACAGTTGAGTGATACTTGATTAAGCTGTACAAAAACGTAATAAGTTGTTATAAAATAATAAGAGAGAGAAAATAAAATATTACTATGAATAACCATTGGATATTGCGGGAAAATATGTCCTGCATTGTACATGACACACAGCCATATGTATTTTACTAACAAATAAATATATGGACACTGCAACCATCTCAAACATGCATATTATCATGACGAACAATCCTATGAACATCAGTATGCACCTGTAAGGGCGCGCACTAATATAGGCCAACTTATTAATCTGTGTTAATGCAATATGGTATTTAGAGAAATGCCACATATTTGCATCCAAGCATTCAGTAACGCATTTCTCTTAAGTGAAACACATCTTCAGCACATTTTGTGTTTAACTATAGGGCATCAATGTTTCAAGGATAAGATTACCATTGTCCATAGTGTAGACGGGTCAATCCCGTCTAGATACAATTGAAACGACCATCGGTCAACTGTATGTCCGATTTCATGCAGGGTCCCGAACGTACGATTAATATGTATGTAAAAAGGAACTCTGTCTGGTTTACTACCGTCCTTGATAGAATGGGTTGTATTAATCACTGTACGGGCTGAAATCAATACCGATGATATTTAGGAAGACAGAGAAACCCAAATGGAACAAAAGCGCAGTGAAGTTGATGCGACGCGATTTAGTTAAACAAGATATATGTCCGTCTTTGAAACGAGCAAATTACATTTTCGTGTTTTTACTATAAACTAAACCAGAGTTTTTCTGAACTGTGCAGCCACGTGAAACACGCCAAATACAGTGTTGTGAGGCACGTGTTCCACATTCTAATAATACATTTTTTAAGGCAACCTAAGTACGTGTAATGTTCTCGTAAAGCACAGACAAGTCCATATCGTAAAACACGCGTAATGCAGACTGACGATGCACTTATATATTGTAAGATTGTATCGTGATGCACATCAATTCACTCATTCTCATTACACTCGTGTAATGCAATACGTATATAACGCGTAACTAAACATCTGAAGCACATGTTATTGTTTTGTAAACCACGTGTTATATGGTGTTTATTGAACCACGTGTTGTTTGTACACGTGTCTCGCGTGAAATAAAGTCTGGTGAGGCATACGTTAAGTGTTATACAATACTGTAAAAACGTGAAACGTAAAGGTCAAAGATCAGCTACTACATACTTCTATCATAGACACTATTACCTGTTTGCATGATAGGACTCATACGCTTGTTGGAAAGTCACTACACATTTGTAGGATAGCCACTACACACTTGTAACATAGTCACTACACACTTGTAACATAGTCACTACACACTTGTAGGATAGTCACTACACACTTGTAACATAGTCACAACACACTTGTAACATAGTCACTACACACTTGTAACATAGTCACTACACACTTGTACCGTAGTCACTACACACTTGTAACATAGTCACTACACACTTGTAGCATAGTCACTACACACTTGTACCATAGTCACTACACACTTGTACCATAGTCACTACACACTTGTAACATAGTCACTACACACTTTTAACATAGTCACTACACACTTGTACCATAGTCACTACACACTTGTACCATAGTCACTACACACTTGTAACATAGTCACTACACACTTGTAACATAGTCACTACACACTTGTAACATAGTCACTACACACTTGTAATAGTCACTACACGCGTGTAGGATAGTCCCTACACACTTGTAACATAGTCACTACACACTTGTAACATAGTCACTACACACTTGTAACATAGTCACCACACACTTGTAGGAAAGTCATCACACACTTGTAGTATAGTCACCACACCCTTGTCACATTGTCACTACACACTTGTAGGATAGTCACCACATCCTCGTAACATAGTCACTATACACTTGTAACACAGTCACTACACACTTGTAGAATAGTCATTACTTGTAACATAGTAACTACACACTTGTAACATAGTCACTACACACCTGTAACATAGTCACTACACACTTGTAACACAGTCACTACACACTTGTACCATTGTCACTACACAATTGTAACATAGTCAGTACACACCTGTAACATAGTCACTACACACTTTTAACATAGTCACTACACACTTGTAACATAGTCACTACACACTTGTAACATAGTCACTACACACTAGTAGGATAGTCACAACACACTTGTAACATAGTCACTACACACTAGTAGGATAGTCACAACACACTTGTAACATAGTCACTACACACTTGTAATATAGTCATTACACACTTGTAACATAGTAACTACACACTTGTAGTACAGTCACCACACCCTTGTCACATAGTCACTACACACTTGTAGGATAGTCACCACATCCTCGTAACATAGTCACAACACACTTGTAACATAGTCATTAAACAGTTGTAACATAGTCACTACACACCTGTAACATAGTCACTACACACCTGTAACATAGTCACTACACACCTGTAACATAGTCACTACACACCTGTAACATAGTCACTACACACTTGTAACATAGTCACTACACACTAGTAGGATAGTCACAACACACTTGTAACATAGTCACTACACACTAGTAGGATAGTCACAACACACTTGTAACATAGTCACTACACACTTGTAACATAGTCACTACACACTTGTAATATAGTCATTTCACACTTGTAACATAGTCACTACACACTTGTAACATAGTCACTACACACTTGTAATATAGTCACTACACACTTGTAACATAGTCACTACACACTTTTAAGATACATAAATTTTAAGATTGTTTCCTTTTCTAATTCGCAGAAATAGTGTTCACATGTGCCATGTCATGAATTGTGTATCATGTTTGTCTTTATCTTTCAGAAATGGCGATCCAAAATGTTCCAGTATTTCTTATCGGCTTGGTGATGATCTACCTCCCGACTGCAAATACATACGCTTTTGAGAAGACGGCGAGCGACACTCTCCTAGAACAGCATAATTCTGGGAAACCGGATGTTGAAACCAATATTGAAAAACGAGCCATGCCATTATCATTGAATGCAGATCTGCGCATGCTCGCCCGGATGTTGTTTGCTTCTCAGAGACGTCGTCGAGTAGATCAATACGCCCGGGTGAGACAGCAAATGTCTACCTTAGGAAAGCGAAGCGGTGGTCATTCACTCGGAATGAACGACAGAGATCCCATTGGAAACGGCCAGGAAATGTCCCATCTAGCAGAGCATGTGGTACAAAACACACAGAGGGCTTCAAAATATGAACATGTATCAGATGACGATATCGAAAATGCACATCAAAAGTTATCGTTGCTGGATACAAATGCAGCTGAGCTTCAGAAGAGGGGTCAAAGGTTATCGATAAACGGTGCGTTGTCGTCCTTGGCTGACATGTTGGCAGCGAGTGGCAGGCGTAGGCTTGAGGAAGAACTCGCCGTCAACAAAGAACGACTTTTGAAACTGGGACGTTAAGAAAGAATTGGGTGCTAATTGATTCCGAGATTTGGCCATTGGAAACAACTATTCAGTGGACAAGAACGACGATATTTTCATTAAATCTTTACAGATATATTTTAGAGATATACATACATTTACTGGAAAAGGAGACATGTAGATATGTTTTTGTTACCGATCCTGTAATTCGTATCGATCCTAAGACATATTGTCATTAATATCTGTGAGCAATAAAACAGAAGTATCGATCAAAATACAATTTGTGAACTCCTGTAATTATATTGTTTTTTTTTTAAATACCGATTTTCTTCATATTTGAACAATGCATATTTCCAATTGGAGTTTCAAATGGTCAATATTACAGCCTGTATTTTATCTTTAACAATATCATGGAGAATGAAAAATATAACAAAAAATATAAAGAAAACAATAAAAATCAGTTATCACACTTAAAAATTATCATTACCTTTGTATAATTTATAGTTGCACAGTACATCGATATCCGTCGAAGGTGGGTTCCCACCAACGTACGGATTATTGTTTCGTGCAAAAATGTATGAAAATTTACCTCGTCTATAGACACATCAAACAAAATAATCAGAAAACACGCATACTTACCGCAATCAACTTATATAAAAGAATTAATTGGAGAGATAATTGCTATTCTTAAAAAGAGTTGTAATTATTTAAGGGAAATCCAGATGCGTAAATCTAAATAAACAAATTTTTCAATTACCAATCGTCGTTCATGTTTCAGATTGAATTTTTGATAATACTAACAAGAAGAGCGAACCCCTGTGACTTGTACGCATATGCTTAGTAGCTCTATTGCAGCAGAATGTGAAAATGAATATTGATCAGCATTGAGATGTCATCTGACCTATTGCCATGGTAACCTTTACAATGACCTTATGACGTTAATAGACCTTATCAGAATTTGTCTATGTTAAAAGACAGGAATGTATATTGTTCTTATTGGTTTTGAAAAACAACGACTTCAGAGCAAAGTGACTTTTTTAGTCCGTATAAAGATGTGTAAAAAGAATATATTCCATATTGATAGATACTGTGACTTTTTCAAAATGTGCAAATTATAAGTGTTTCTGATACTTCGTACCTATACTGCAAACAAACTCATTTTTGCGAGCTCCATATCACAACATGTAAGAGACAATTAAAACTTTCGCGAAACCGTTTGCTACAGGATTATCGTTCTTTGATATATATCTTTTAATTTATGTCGGAAGAGTTACTGGAATTTGTTCGGTTGCAAAATTTTCGGAAATGAATCGATCATGAAGTAAGATTTATGTACAGTTAGTACTACAGTAATGATGATAATTTGACCTTGGATACCAATGTCTTGAGATTTGATACAACGTAACATTTTATGTTCAGTAGGTACACATGAGATTTGGCGACCTGTTGAGTTGTGGTTTTTAGGAGGTGATCGGAAACGTTGTACAATATTCATACAATTTGTATTTTGAATACCTTTGTATTTCTACATGACAAAAATGCACCAAAATGACTGTTTTGGTTCATATTGCTTAATTGTAATATACGAAATTGTAACACGATTTACTTACCGTTCGTGATACCTATGGAAACCTTGCCACTTTCGTACGTTAAGAAGAAATCAAATGGTCATTCGTTGTTATAACAGGAAGAAAATTTGCGGGCAAAAACATAAAACAAAATGCGGAAAACCGTCTTTAACGTTGTTATGATCCATAAATATTGTTTGTATTGCATTTTTACAAGTATGATATGTATCAGCAGATTTAAGCCTTTTCTTTTCCACTACATTGAAGGTCCATTTTTGTCAGGGATCTTGTCAGTCAGTCCGAAACTTCGTCGAGTTTCACAAAAAGTCTGGCAAGATCAGCCCAAAATCTGTTTATCGACCAAAGTAATATAGCAGACGTCTAATTGATTCAGAACTCAATTAGCCTCCAACAAAGGATTTGTCAGGTGGATTAAGCGTAGCGCATTCATCTTGTGGCGCGTGAAAGGTCAATGAGCGCGGGGGCGGGGTGGGGGTGGGGGTGAGAAAAAACGAGCACCTGCAAAATAGGGGGAAAGGATGGAAATAGTTCCTACATAACGTGTTTGTAAGTTTTGTTTTTCGTTTTGTTGCTTTTGGTTGTTCCGCTTGCCATTAGTTTATTTGATATTTAATAGTTTTGGCGCCTTTTTTGCGCGTAAAAACCAATTTAGTAACACCTCCGTCATCGCGCCCTTACCAACAAGTTTGCAAATTTGAAATAAACTTTGATATAGACTGGCCAAAACGCCTGTGTTGAATGCCTGAAGATAAGTTGATTTTTTTTTTTTTTTTTTTTAGTTGGTATTTGTTAGTTAGTCTTTGATATTTTTCGAAGGGACTCAAACATTTTCGGTTTCAATAACGGTATAATTGATAAACATGTGCTACCGCAAAACAGTGAACTGTTGTATTTCATTTTCTGTATATGATATTAATTGTATGTCTGCTGTTCAAAGTTAAATTCCAAGGTCAAAGTTGAATTGTTAAGACTTAGTGTTTGAATGTTTCCCAATAAAAATGTCGATATTGTCTTTCCGTCTGGCCTTTGATTTCTGCTGCTGATTTCGTGTGTTGGCACTTACACATTGAAATAATACATACAGTATTTGTGTGCGCTTAAACACAGTTTGTGTGGAGATCTTTTTACTGAGGGTCGAACAGTATCATTCGCATACATAATCGGAATATAAAGCTGCTATCTTCCCCATTCATACGCAAACACTTTCCCCCTATAATTCACGGATAAGTTTTCATTTTTTTATGAAAAGGAAACTTTTTACATTTTATATTATACATAGTTCGACGTTCCAAATATTGATGGAGTTATGTGTGACGAGGCCGATGGAGCTTTGCTAAAGTATGACAAAAAGTATGCTACGCCAGTTTCAACGCATTATTTGGCTCGATGACGTCATGAGTCATAAAATGCCTGAATTTAAAGAATTTGCTACAAGAGAAACCACCAATATTTCCGACTGTTCCATGTGTTTTTAAGACACATTTCTGTACTGTAGTAAAGAAACATGAAACTTTTCAAAATTTGTGGATTTTTTTTATTTATATCCTAATCTGCTTTTGAAAAAAATTGATAAAAACAAAAATTATCAACCTGTGAACAGTTGAAGGTCTATTTTAATTGTGGCGAATTCCCTGGACATCTTGCAGGATGCCTATAATATATACTATTCAGATAATGTCGGATGAAATAAACTTCAGGCATTAGAGATAAATAAAAATGCATCATCAAAATAACTTTGTACAGATTCCGCCTTGCCCGAAAGTTTGCCGCAACATCTATGTAGGCAATATCCATTTCTGAGGAAAAGACAGACGATTGAATTTAAATCCGATTTTTAGTAGAATGGAATAGAAAATTGTATTGTACACACATACCTAAATATAAATATATATATACACATTTTTTTTCAATGTTCAAATTCAGTAATGTAAAGTTTAAATTTCTCATAAAAACCAACACGTTGATTTCTTCCAAAGTTTGCATACTTGTAGTATTATTAGTGAGAATACAAAAAAGAAGAAAAAAATAGCATATTTCAGATTAAAAAGGCCCAAAGGCAATGTGTTTTTAGTTTAGTTAATCAACACGTCAGTGCCTTCAAACCTTTTTCACAAACTCTTATTTTTTTACCTCTCTGAAACATTACTCAATTTTTATTATCCAATTTGTATTGGTATATAGATAGTTTAAGGGGAAAATTGCGGATTTTAACATTTTCTAAACCAAACTATTGCTAAAGATATATAAAAACGTGCCAGGGTTTTATATTGTGTGCAATATTTTGATTACTAGCTTCAATATGTGTTTTATCAATTAGTACAAGAATGAAATGAATTGAAATCTGGGAGAACGGTTTTCGAACTTTTTAAAACCTTATGGAAAGAATTGGCTTCAAGTGAAGATCACAATGAATAAATAGATAAATGAATAATAATGAGAGAGAAAAAAACTTAAATGATCAATGCACAGCATAGTTACACAATTATCTGATCATCAGAATTTTAGGAAACATAACACTGTAATGTTGCAATACCTCGAATAGATTTTTGTTTTCTCGTATTTATTGTGTTTTTCCAACATTTGAATAATACTTGTCAATGGTACATATACATAATGATATTTGATTGTTTTCAGAGCGCATGAAAAAGACTTAAATGTCGTTACATCAACTGGCTCAGCATAACAATGCATTAGCCCTCAGTGAGCCAAATGTCTCGAGTTTTTGCAAGTCAGTATCCAAATGTTTTATTAATAGTTATTAAATAAGAAATAAACACACGTGACCATATTAACTAATTACACGTGTGACTAAAATCTGGTTTTATTCCTCACTGCACTTCCACATGTACTACTCAAATGAATAGAGCCAGAAGGGCCACCTTGCCAATGTCCACAATTTATAATCAATATGTATAATATGCCGGTGTTTAATCACTGAACACGTGAATATTGAAATAACATATACCTTAGACACAGCTAACAACGAAAGGCATAGTCAGCTCGTGTATGCGTAAATTTAATTCATATAAGAAATTTAATGAAAAACTCTGACTTTACGGCAGAAACATGGCCTGTGTTGGATCAGTGGGTTAGCGTGCATATTTCATGCAAAGAATGCTGTCAGAAGCCCCAGAAGAACACATCGAACGGTCACATAATACTTACAACGAGAAAAATCTGTCGTTTCACTATTACAGGTGCTGCACATTACAAACGAAGTATTTAGACTTGTTTTCAAACACTCTGGTATATCTCGGTTTGGAGACAGACACCATTCAACTAAAGGGAGACATAACAAAGAGGAAAGCGCTTTAGCAAATGGAGAAAATGTAAAGATCCGAATTTAGTCGCCTCTTACGATCATGCAATGGGGACAGCAGATAATATTAGGCCATGTATTGGTGTTGTTTGATGCAATAAATTCTTAAATTAATGACATTTCTGTTTATA